CTGCTTATCTGTACATTCACCAGGAACTAAAAGTTCTTAAAGTTAGGCTTTTACAGATCTACAGAAAGTGCTGGAGGCCTGAGGGGGTGTCACTGACCAGCTGCCACCCAGTGCACGGCCCTCATGGCTCCGGAGGTCCCTTCTAGTGCGGGCTACTCCATGAGATGGGGCCACCTCCCCACTCCTTTCTAGTGCCTCTGCCAGCACACAGACTTCTTTTGTTTAAAAGAGTTTCTAATCACATGTGAAAGTAGGGTTTCAAAATCTAGTGGGCTCAGTAATAGAGGGTGTGCTAAGCATGAGGGAGTCACAGGGTTCAATGCCCAGCCCCAAAAAACAAAATAAAACTGAAAAACCAATATACAGAAGTCACGAAGGTTACAGGGTCTTGAAAAACAATTACACTTACAGCCCCGAAATAACTAACTACTGACTTCTTCCCAGGACAGTAACTGCCAACACCACGAGATTTCCATTTTATTTTTATTTCTGAAAGTAGTGTTCACTGAATCTCTTGCTTCCTTGTGTTTCAGGCTTTCTGGTACACACAAGCTCTTTTTCCCCCTTCTCTTAGGACAACAGGTTTTGTTAGAATTTTAAGTTATTGTTCTTCTAATATGCAATTGTAAAGGTTGTTCCTACCTTTTCCAGACACTTGGCAGCACATTCAAAGCCCAGCAGGCACATGTGAATGGGCAGACTGAAACTAATCTAAGTGAACATCATTTTGGTGTTCTCCACAGTGCAAGACTGACAACTTGTTGCTTCCGTGGCTAAGCGACCTGTGTGTGCTTCACAGCCTCTGGGGGCTTCCTTCGGGGCTTGGGAGGGAAACATTCTTCAGCAGCCTGATGCAATTGGCAGGGTGATGGCTGCAGCCTGTTTTCCGGAGCAGGAGGCAGGCACACAGGTTGCATTGTACAGTATCTGGATGTTGGCATAGACGTGGTCCTGCCCTGTGATCCTTCAAACAAAGCCTGAGGTTGAATCTCTTTTGTGTGGGTAGATAAGGGAGTGTATTGAGCTCCGTGGAAAACAGACAAGGGTGCTCTGACAGATGGTGCAAGGGTCACCCCACAGCAGGGGGTCAGCCTGAAGCTGGGTACTATAGCAACACTCTGAGAATTACCTTGTGAATTAAAGGACGGTTCGATTCACTGGGTCTGCCCAGGCAGGGAACCAGCTGGGTCTTTGTCAGCCAGCAGACGAAACTGGTTGGCAGTTGTGTGGTTTGACAGTCCAGCTGTGTGCAGACAGCTCTCTGCTGTGGTGATGACATTACCCCCGGGTCTCAGTGCACGTGTGTTTGTCAAGAGCAGCATAGGAAGCAGCAGCAGTGTGATGGTCCATCCCAGGTGTGGGCTTGCGCTTTTGTCTGTACAGAATTGAAAACCAACAAACCTGACTAAAAGTCAGTTTGCTTTTTATTACTATTGAGCCCTAAGAGTTCCAACCAGTGTCTATAATAAAATGCTCCTCACTCATAGGGCAGACTTCTGACACCGCCCCTCCCATCTCTTCATACATCACTGGGATAAACAAGTACCAGGCGGCAAGATTAGAAGCAGCAAGAGAATAAACGGGAAGCCAATGACTCCCTAGATAAGATTTGTGTGTGTGTGTGTGTGTGTGTGTGTGTGTGCACGCGCGCGCGCGCACGTTGGGCTGGGGATTGCACCCAGGGCCTTGAGCACGCCAGGCAAGTACTCTTCAATGGGCCCACTCTTTTTGTTTTGTTTTTTTGTAATCATGAAATCTTATTGGACATGGCAGCACATGCCTGCAATCCCAGCATTCCGGAAAGCCAAGGCAGGAGGATCATAAATTCAAGCCCTGTCTCAAAATAAAAATTTTAAAAAGGTTGGGGGTGAACCTTAGTGCAAAGGCCCTGGTTCAAGCCCCTGCATCAGAACAAAACCAAGAACAAAAACCTCTACTTTGTGGAGTTTAGAGGCCATAATAGGCCTTTCTGGTTTCCAGCTTTGTGTTTTGGTTATCTATTGCTATTTGTTTGTTTATTTGTTTTCATTCTGGGGATGAACTCAGAACTTTGTACTTGCCAGGCAGGTTTAGCACCACTGAGCTACATCCCTGGCCCAATTGTTGCTTTTGAAAAAGTACCCAAAGGGCTGGTGATGTGGCTCAGTGGTAGAGCACTTACCCCGCACGCAGAACGCCCTGGGTTCAATGCCAAGCACCAAAAAACAATACAAAATCCTCTCGAAGTTACTGTTTTAACAGCCAAGGGCTGAGGAGATAGCTCGGGGTACAACACCTGCCTAGCATGTGAGAGGCCCTGGGTTTAATGTCCAGAACTGCAAAAAAAGTTCATTCTAGACTCTGCCTTTGTGGAGGCTTCAGTGAGGATGATTTATCTCTGCTTATTTCACATGGTGTCTGCTGAAGCTGAAACTTCCTAGCGAGCTTTTCCAACTCGAGTCTAGTAACTCAGCTGAGGTGTCTGGAGGGGCAGGAGCTGGCCAGGCATCTCCCTCCTGCATATGACCTCACCATGTGGCTACTTGGGCTTCCTCATTCAGGAACGCCTGTCCTTCTGTGGTGGTCACCTTTCCCTGAGCTTCCACGCCAGGGTGCAAAGTAGAAACTGTCAGGTTTTCTTAATGCCCAGAATACCAGAACACTATTAACACATGCTATTGGGCGAAGCAGTCCAAGGGCAGCCCCAATTCAAGGAGAGGAAAAAATTCCCCTTCATGGTGGAGATATATACTGTGGCAGCCACCTTTGGACATCTACCTCAGTTTTCGCAGCATAACAAAGTATCGTGGCCTTTTATTGTACTAAACCTCATCAAGCTGGAAAAGGGTAAGGTTTTTAACTTTTTAAAAACAAGACCTTTATAATTGTTACCATAATTTGGTTCTGAATGGAAGTATGGTGGCCTGAATTCCTAGGTGGAAACAAGAGATTGGGGGGGGCCTAACATAGTAGTGAATCTGAGGGGACAAATATTAGGGTGGACTCGATTTGCCATAACCTAAAATCCAGATCGTGTTTAATTATGGTACTATACAGTCCACAAATTACAGCCCGGTAATTTGTAAGGTCAAATGACTGCTCCATTTTTTTTTTTTTTTTTTTTTAATCATTGCTCCTCAAGTGTCACTTTCCTGAAATGAACTGACCTTTCCATCCTCAGCCGGAGTGGGAGTTTTCTGGAGACTGTAATGTGTAGTAGACAGCAACCTGGAGAGTTGCTATACGTTTCACTTGGGTCAAAGGATTACATCTCAGTCCAAACAGGTTCCACAGAGGAACTGATATACCTCAGTGTGACTCCCCTGCCCTCAAGACACGATCAATCCACCTACATGTGTACAGAGCTTTGGTTAGGAAGACACTGAGTGCATGGTCTCGTTTTCTTCTGACTGTAAACAGGCAGGTGAGTAGGCAGGCCTCGTGTGAATGTGCAGAGTTTCCAGGTAAACACGATAGATCCCAACCTCCTCCGCCACAAGCAAACTCAGATACACAGCAGGGAAGAAGCAGCTCTCTTTTTTCGGGTTTCTTCTTCCCTGCTGGCACAGTGGTCTCTCAAGAGTCCTGACCTTTCTGCCTTCAGGCCTAGGCTGATGGTTTCTGCCTCAAGGCAGATCCTAAGGACAAGTTCAGGCAGCTCCCACGGTAAGCAACACGCAGGTGGGGCCTGGCTCCTACTTTACAGGGGTACAGTGAGCTGGACTCCCCTGTTTGTGGGGCCCAGCAGTGGCTTGCCTTGGTCTCCCCGTCCACAGCTTTATCCAACACTGGCCGGATGGGTGCTCTTGGAGTGTTGATCCTCCTCTCTGTGTCCTTATTTGTCCTCTTATAAGGAAAAAAAATGTCATGCCTGGTGCCCCAAATCCTGCACTCCTCACTGGGTCAAACGGAGGGGGCACTGAAGTCGGGCTGCCCCGCCCCCGCCGGCCTCGCTCCTGCCC